CCCCTTAAAACAACATTTAGCCATAAGAGCAGACAGAAACAGGTAGCTGTCTGTTGCTGGTGACAGTTTGTTATTAACACAAATGCCAGCCGCCTAACAAAAGGTCTGATGATTAGTCTTTGCTGTGTTTCAACATGGTGGAGTTCAAGAAATACAAATAGTTACACTCCGAGATGCTAGAGGAATTTTAAATGGTATGTTTGCATACAAAATATACCTAAATTAGCTAAGTACTTCTATCATTTTTGGCACAACACTGTCACTGTAAACCTTAAACAAGTTCCAACATATGAACTATTCTTGCCCATGTTTTCACTAAGTCTGAGGCTGTGGGAAACGCATGTGTGGGCACTTCTAAATGTATACGAAACACCTTTTGTGCTCCCTTAGCAAAACAAACCAATGCATTATCCCCTGAAATATACAACGTGCTACCACTTGGTTCCATTCAGTAGAAAGAGTACATTCAGTTTGAAATCAAAAAAATAATAATTGGAATAGCTTCTGAACGTCAATCTAACTAGCATTCTGCACATGGCTCAACTGTAAACTGATTCATTTCAAAATACAGCCTGCGTTATACGCAGGCATACATCTTCATTTTATGGCTCAAAGCGTGCTTTAAATCAGTGCTGGCAAAGGCAAGTTGGAAATATTACTCAAATTATACAGTTAAACACTTCTGAAATGTCCAGTATATCATATTCTGAAAGTACTCTCAAATCATTTCCTCATCATACACCTGAAGAACTTGTTTACTTAGGTTTGTGGTTTGGTTTGGAAGTATGTCTCAGTTGTCATGGCTCCAAGCCGGCATAATTTATTTACTGTTTGTCTCTTGTTAGCTAGAGGCAAAAAGAAATTTAATGTCCTCGGCGGCTCAAGCATGATGTACAGTGAGGAAAGTTAGAAAAGTAGGATGGAATAATCCATGTCATGAGTTTTTTAAAAAATATATTATTTATAAAGCCTCTTATGTCTTGTATTACTTCATTTTGATGTTTCAGTTGGAACCTCTGAATGGAGAGTCAAGTATGGCATTCAGTGTGGGTGATTATTCCTTTTTCTCAAGTACCACTTATTGAAGTTTCTTTGGAGTTGAAGTGAATACAGCTGAGGACCTGAGGAAAGGCAGTCCAGAGACTGAAGTTATTTATATGAGGAGGTTCTGCCACCAAAGACTCACTGTTCAGGAATGTCACGGACAACTCTTGAGAACCGGGTAATGTGCTTTCCAAATTCTACGAGTTTTGTCTGCCTATAAATTGCTTTCTGAATGGGGAAACAGATCCGACTGTAGAAGTGAAAGCATCAGGAAGCTTCGCTGTCACTTCTCACGTCCAGAAAAATGTTCTAGACAAGAAATGGCCATCAATTATGAAAAGAGTCTGATTAATTTTATAAAAATGAATATTTTTGTATTGTTTGGGAGCAGTATGATTCATGTTTGCATGATACAAATGAAAGAAGATAGATGGTTGGTTTTTTTTATTCTCATTTTAGAGCTTTATTGTCTTTTGAGAGCTGCCTTTCCAATCAAGCAAATTTTGTTGGTTGAACAAAAATAATTTTGAATCTTAACTTGCCAGAAGTCTGAATTATTTTATGCATAACTGTAAGGTCTACTGGCACAAAAGGTTTTCCATATTTAAATGGTGCAGAGGCATCAGATTCTTAAATATAGGCTGTTTGAAATGTGAAGGTTGCATTAAATATTGTTTATTTTGAAAGCTCTTGGTAAATTGGATGGAAAGAAAAAGTGCAGGCATTGCTTTTTCAGTTAAAAAAAATTAATAATTTTAGCTTGTTCCAACAAATGATGCTCCATATGCAAAGATTGATGAATTCAAATGAACACTTTGAATAAGACCTGTCCTTATTGTTGTAGGGGATTGTGCAGCTCTGCTGTTACACTGAGAGTGAGAGGAGACATGAAGACTGCATGTATTCAGAGCCAGCACTGTGAGATAAAAGCTAAATACTTTTGTGTTCATTACCTGAAAATAATGGGATGTAGTTATGTTCAAGAAAGCATGAGAGTTTCTATTTTTGTTCTGTTATGGGCTACTTTTGATCATTTTCAAACCTGATTAAATCAAACTGTAGAACAACCTTTTATCTTTAGTTAAAAATGATGAATTATGTCACTGTGTTTTAGAATCAAACATTCAGATCACTTATTGATTTGTAAACCCCATCTTAAATGCAATTCCTTCCTGGTAGTTAGTTGTTTTTCTGGTCCTGGGGATTATCTTTTTCTCATGAGAGCCAGGAGTTCAGCAGGAAGAAATATTTAGCTGCATCTCTTTGTTACTTCTGGATCCGCTGTGTAGGTGGCAGCTAAAATGTCACATTTAGATTTTGAAGAGGAAAATCACTACCTTTAGCAAAAAGAGGTACAAGCTACTTCCATATGTACGACTTTATAAGCGCTTTGCGTATCACATAATTAGAGCTATTTGTGTCGTGAATAAAGTGCAGAGACGGAGCAGCTGAGTGAAGTGCCAGCCTTCAACTGGTTCCTTGTTGCAACTGAATGCTGTGTTATTGTGTCAAGCTGTGTTTGGCATTCGACGTTAAATTGCGTCTCACAATTTGGACTTTGGGCAGCAAATGTACTAAATATACAATCTAAAATTGGTTCTTGGCAACATTTTCTGCTGATTCAGAAACTTTCCTGGGTACTGAATGAATAATTCCACATTGTATAGAAGTTTAACAAACAAAACTAAACACTCCTCTAAATAGTCAACTTAGACAATAATGAAAGACAAACTGAAAGTGAGAAGAAACGTATTGAAATGTCCCCAAAAAGCCAGTAAACATTGCTTAGCATCACTTCTCTACCCTTATTTTTTATAATTAGATAATTGTATAAGTTAGCACAGCAATGTTTTTTTTGTCGTTGTATTGAAAGCATGTACATTTCTGTTGAGAATACAAGGAGTCCAACATCAGACAAAATATCAGAGATAGTTAACCAGAGTCCCTTCAGAAGGTTATGGTGTTGCAGTCGCAACTATTAATGCAAATTGAGTCATTATTTGCAAATTTTCTGTGATCTTCCAATTTTCACCAATCATCCCAACATTTACTGTATTTCATTTTTTTATATTTTGGCCAAGCTCCTTAGCCTCTCTTCTAATTTAACTTCCTGTTTCACAACGCATCTTCAAGATGAAAGCATGCGTGATGCTGAACAGTAATATTTGTCTTACATTTTTAATTTATTCATATATTTTACAAAAAAAAAAAAAAAACATTCTGCGATGCAGTTATGGTAGATGTGGTCCCTTGCACTTCCTGTAGCCGCCCTCTCTGTCCCCTGCATTTTTTCCAGCCGTTACAGCTGATGTTAGAATCAGCTCGGATGCGGTGAAGGGATTCTTAAGGCCAACTTTGAATACGCCATGAGTGTACACATGCTGGATCAGATCACTGAGAGCAGGGTCGCTGCCAAGCATCTGTGTCATGACCAGCAAACAGCCAGAGCCAAAAGGCAAAAAAAAAAAAGCTTTGCTAACTTTCCAAAAACCTCAAGTTGAGTAATGCTGCTGCATGCAGATCATGATGATGACAATTAGTTAATCCATGCAGGTATGTCATAAGCGGATTACCAAGAATACTGATGTTGTTGTTACCTATTTTAACAAACAAGTCTACAAAGAAGAGCATGTCAAAATTCCTCCACAATGATATGAAAGTCTTAGCAACAGTAATAGCAAACATTTAACGCCAGTTGTTGGGTGGAAGAAGTGTTCGGATGGATGTTCTCCTCGTTAAAGGAAATACTAATTACAAAAACACATTTTGTTTTTATGCTGGTTATCTTTGATGTTAGAATTTGTTTAATGATCTCAAACAATTAAGTGTGACAGAAATCAAGTCACAGACAATGTATTGCAGTGTGGGGCTGCTTCTTGTGCTATGATGTCGGGACTTTTTACGAGTTGCCAGGCCTCATGCATCGGTTTGAATACATCACAAGACTTGAAGAGTTCATGTTATGCCAAAGAAGAAATGCCCTTTTAAAATATGCGGTTCAACTAGACAACCACCCCCAAAGCGCCAGTGAACACCAGAGACAAGCAAGATCAACATTTTGATGTGAGCCGCCCAATCCCTGGGCTTTAATCTAATGGGAAACTTGTGGAGTGACATTAAACCTAATGCTTCTTCAGCAAAGCCTTTCAGGCAGGAACACCAGGACACAGGTACCAGAACATGTTTGTAATGTATGTGGACCAGTTCTTCAAAACAGTATTTGACTAAATATTAGTTCGGCAGTCTACAGAAAAGCTAAATCTTCAAGCATTATTCAGTTTATAAACTCAAATATTTAGGTTTATTAAAAGAAATCCACTCTATTTTCAACAACCCAGTATTCCTCCTTTTTTTGTCGTTTTCTGAAGTCTGGTAGAGTAATTTAAATTTTGATGTAATGGCAGAATGTTCTTTTTCATTTTTCCTTGTTTGCCAGTATTGTAGAGGTGCTGTTCTCCTTATTTCGCTTCAAATCATCACCCTTATTCTGTAATAATTATCTAAAGGGATGCTTGGGTATTTATAGTGCAGATTAACTTAGAAATATGACTTGATCTGACCTGAAAGTTGGACTGTGAGAGTAAGATGCTCAAGCTTTAAATTCTGTAAACATTCTGCTTTTGTGACCAAGTTCTCTTTGCTCCACCACTAAGCTTCCCATTGACATTTACTCACTTCCGTTTAAATCTGTGCTATATGTACAAGGATTTTCATGCTATAGGGAAATGTGTTTGATCTAGATTTTAGTCCGTCCACGCTTGTTGATGTGAAACTCACCCTGAATGTTGAAACTCACCCTGAATGTTGACTTGATACTCATGGTTGTAAAGTAGACCTCTTTTGGGTTGCTTTTGTGTTGTTTTTGACTTTTTATGCCTTTTCTCTTTAGATTTAAACACAACCGAGCAGCTGACAGGAAAATAAGAGACGCAACTATTTATTTTCTCTCCCTGCAGAATCCTTGGCTTCTACAAGGGAATCCTGCCTCCGATTCTGGCAGAGACGCCAAAGCGAGCAGTGAAGGTAGGATAAAGGATGTGTGTGTTTGTCTATGGGAAGCTGAAAAGCTTCTCACGATGTCACGCAAGGCCCAGGATCTAGTTTCATTATGAGCTGCCGTACTACCATATGAAAACACTCGAACTGCTGTTGCATAGAGCACACGTGCTGATTAAACACATAACGCCCTCAACCATGTCTGCCTCTTTAGACACTCCTGTTTGCCCTCTCCGCAAACCCAATATTGACTTACAAGTATTTGCTGTAAGCCACGGCATGAACGTCATATTTTGATAGTTATAGGTGAGCAGAATTACCGATTGGAGGTTAGGCTGGGAGCGAGGGGTGGAGAGAGTGTGCTACTTGGCACTATGCTGCTCTGTAATGAGATGCCGGAGACAAAGTGAACTTTATAAATAAGCACTCACACTGAGAAGATGGGGTAATCGCTCACATGGCAAGCAACGCTGCTGATGGTGAGACATTACTGCACCAAAATATTGGAGCAAATTAAGGATCTTCAGCCACCTCAACTGGTGTTTTGCACAAATCAGAGGAAGTGCCCTTTGCTGACGTAAGAGATTAAGCCGGACGTTTAGAAGTATAGTTTTAAAATCTCAAATCTTGGCGTGGAATGGGTTGTGCCTTTCGTGGAACCTCATTGGCACTTGAAAATGTTTCAGAAACCCTGAAGGATTAGTTTGAATATCTTTTAAGGCTTTGTAAAGCTACTAAAAACAGATTTAAAATGTCATATTGCCACAAGCTTCATGTAACGTTTCATAAATCCTTGCAGTGGTGGAAGCTAACAGGATAATCAAAAGCATTGTGTCAATTCAAGTCAACAGCTAGTTTTTCCTCCAGGATCATTCTTTAGCAACTGCAAGACCAGGAACTCACTGCAACCTATCGTTTTCAATGCTGCTGCAGAACTGATGCAGAATCTAAAAGGTTCGTCTGTTCTCCACAGAGCTGGTGGAGAACTGGTGAGTTGCAGCTGATCTGGCAGATCGAGACGGCCAGCAGACTCAACCAGCATGAGTTCATAGAAACACAAATTTTATTCAGTTTTACCACCTTTCAGAGGATTTAGTTTCTTTTCACCAGCTCACAGTAATGACACCTTTCTGTCACTGATAACAGCTTCAATAAACTTCACCACAATAAAATCTTTATTGTGGATAAACTAATCTTTTATTTCAGCTGCATAATCACACTCTAAATCTTAAAAAAATAATAATAATAATTTAACCTGACTATATTTATTCAGTGGTTGGGAGGTTATGTTTTAAGAAATAATAGTTGAATAAAGTGGAGCAACTCCAGTTACTCTTGAATTGCACATTTTTTACTCCCTACTTTTTCCAGTAAAATATAACATATTCTCATATTTTAAGCATACAAGGAGCTTTCAATATTTTGCTTTGCACTATTTCTCTACATCCTGGGTCCTTGATGTTATGTTGAGTTGATCTGGTTATTCTGGATCATTACCTTGATAAAAGACATAATAATGCCTCTTTTTCAGTTTACACGTAGCCTCCGCTAGGTATGTCCTCTCTTTGGATGAGATGTTTTTTCAAGTATTCACCCTAAACGCCGCTGTTTTGTGCCGTTTTCAGCATCAACATACTCTTCTGCGTAAAGCGTCAGTCTGTGCACGTGGATGGTGTTGCATGTTTCATAACCTTCTGACACGTCGCTAATCCTGATCTTACCTCCACAGTTTTTCACCTTTGAGCAGTACAAGAAGGTGCTGAGTCTGACCCCTTTGTCTCCTGGTGTGGTGAGTGAGCCAAACAGAAGCACCTGAGTACACTGTCGCTTAAACACACAAACACACACAGAACCAGGAACAATAGTTCTTCTGACATCTGCTTAGCTGCCAAAGTCGGTTAAAGCAAACATGTGAACGGTAAAAAAAAAAAAAAAAGTTTTACCAGGCAAATTATGTCAGTGTAAATGTTGTTATAAAAAGCCTTCAGTGCTACAATGAGCGAGGCATAAGTACATTTAGAAGGGAAATTACTGTTACTCGTTGTAGATTTTTTTTTATTTTATATCTATTGTCGTTGCAGGTCTTTTGCAGAGGCTTGATCATTTACTTTAACAAGTTTACAGTTCTTCAATATCAGTGCGACAAATTTAACATTGCTTTTCTTTTCAGACATAAAAAAGGTTTATGGCACCGGACAAAATAAATACTCGGATGGCACTGGACAAAATAAAAACTAGGGATTAAATAACAAAAGCCCGTAGTACCACTTTTGTTAAATGTTAAGCACATGTGAAAGCATTCTCGATGAATGACACACACTCTAAAATGTCAGGCCTATTGCTGATGTAAAAGAAAAATATATAATAGCTTGTCTAAGTATCGCATAAGCCCTTCAACTTATTGTTATTTTGTAAGATTAAAACCTGTGTGGTTCGGTCTTAAGTCAGGTTTCGTCTTTGCCGAATTAAAAAAAAAAAAAAAAAAATCCCAACAATTTTCAGAAATTTGTCAGATGCCATGTTTATTCCGCCGGCAATTTTTGGTTAAATTTATTGGTTGGCATTCTGTGAGGATGAATAACAACTTACAACACAGGACTGCCACAAACCTCTTTGTATGTTATGTGATCGACCAACACAAAGCAGTACAAAATTTTTAAGTAGAAGGAAAAGTTCTTGGGGTTTTCGGGTTTTACAAAAATGTGACGCATTTGCGTTTAGCCCCTTTTTCCTTAGGATCTCTAAATAAAATAAAAAAGTGCGTCATTTTGTCTTCAGAAGTCACATAATTAGTACGCCGAGTCCCTCTGTGTGTAATTGAATCTAACTACGAATTAAGCTATTTTATGAAGACCCTGGAGATTAGAGAACATTAGTGAACAAACAGCATCATGATGACCAAGGAACCCAGCAGACAAATCAGAGGTACATTTGTGGAGAAGCCTAAAACAGTTTGGTTTAAGAACAATATTCCATCTCAGAAAACACTTTTTGTTCCATTGCCTGAAAAAGAAAACAGAATGGCACGACTGGAAACCCACCAAGACATCTCCGTAACTCTGGAGGAGCTGCAAAAACCCGCAGCTCAGTGGAAAGAATTTGCTGACCTGACTGACATTTGTGGTGTGCTCCATGTCACTTCTTCACCAGATTGGAACAAAGCTATTACTCAAAGAAAGACGTTAGAAGTCCTGCTTGCAGAGGCCACAGCAAACATGTGGAAGAATGCGATCTGTTTAGATGAGACCGACTCTTTAGCCCACGTGCAAAATACAATATTTGACAGGAAACTAACACAACATATCATCCTGAATATTCCAAACCCGCCTTGAAATACGGTGGTGACAGTGGCAGATGTTTTTCCTGAGCAGAGACAGTGAGACTGGTCAGAGCTGACGGGAAGGTTTGCAGTTTCCCAGCGAGTGGATACTTGGTTTCTGTTTTGATGGCGCCTTTGTTTGGCTTTGCCCCTGCTGGTTACCATTGTTTTTCTGCAGATTTTGTCTTTTTTAACCATTTTCATATTGTAATGGAGATGTTATGAGTTTAATTTTCTCTGATGAGTGGTTCCTAAGGAGGCAGCATTCTTTGCGATGCTCCAAAGGGCGGAGCCGGTGTCCAGGTGAAGCTGTTTGGAAGCGTTGGCAAACGACACCATAAATCTCTCACCACTCATTGGTTTGGCTTTCGTGCTGATGAGGATTTCACAATCATTTCACCAACTTTGATATGTTCTACCTGAAACTCTGCGATGTTACTGCCCCAAGTACTCATCGAGGTTTATTTCTTCTGTTGATGGATTCCTTATCGTGCAGAGGAAAATGGAACGTACTCACGGATTTTAGTGACTGCCAGCTTGCCTGTTCAAGACTGTTTTTCAGGGTTTAGGTCCTATATGTACTTAACATATAGCAAACATTTATTTTATTTTATTAAAATTAGTTTAGTTTTTTAGTTTGCTTAAAAAACTAAACTAATTTGTGTCGGTTTGTTATTTACAATCTCAAATATGTCACAAGGCCTCTTTTTACTAATTTTGAGAAGAAATAAAAATCTGTAAATTTTTAATTGTCTGTAAATATTTTGTCTGTCTATAAATGTTTTAACTGAGGAATCTATTTATTTACGACAACGTTAACTTTTTATGTTTTGCTGTGAATATTTTGTAAAGTCTCTGTGCTGCTGCCAGTTTTAGGCAGGATGTTCTTATAAAGAAGATTTGCTATCTCAATGATACTCTGAAATATTTTTTGCATAAAATCCACAACCGTCATCCTTACGAGTAAAAGTGAAAATAAAACACGACCCGCAAACTGCACACAACACATTCCCAGGTATGTGTTAATTAACAAATGAAAGTTGGAGGTAGTGTTATGTAATTTATTCATCCATTGACTATACCCAGGGGCCTGGTGCATATCTCCAACGATAATTAGGTGACCCTGGAAAGGTCGCCAATCCATCTCAAGTCAATAAAGAGACTCACAGAGCAACCAGCCATGCACAAACTTACAGATAAGGGCAATTTTGAGAGACTGATTAACCTGACAGTCATGTTTTGGGACTGTGGGTGGAAGCTGGGGTTCCTGGAGAGATGGGCGGAGCATGCACAGGGAGAACATCCAAACTCCATGGACAAAGACCATGGACTGATATTTAAACCTAACTATGCCATTTACTTGACATGAAAATGACTTATAATAACATTTTAGAGAAACAAACTCCAGTATAAATACTGAGGAATACAGAAAAAGCCTGGAACGCCAAAGATCCATTTATCATCCTCCTCTTGGAAGCATCAGTGAGGATTGTTTTCCTTTTAGGCATTTCCAGATTCAAAGCTTTTAGATATCTATTTTGAAACACTGAAATCTGGCTTGCACTGTGGAATCTGTTTTTGTGCTGTTTTCACCTATCTGTACCTCATAAGTTTGCGATTTGACCAAAATCTCCATCTTCAATTGACCTGCACAATTGCTCATTTAGAAATAGATCACACCACAGCCAGTGACTCCACAAATAGTTTTATAATCTTTGAGCAATCGTCTTGCTGGTGTATTCAGTCCTCGGTTTGGAAATGGACAGATTTGAAATACCGGGGTGTGGTCATCACACACCCAAAACTTTAGTGTTGGGTGCGGGGGGGGCAATTGTCAGCCATGACGGATGGTTTACCTGTAAGTCCGCATCAAAACCACCTCCACACAGAGAACATCCTCTGCTGGCTTTACAGCCAGTGGTGGAGAAATGTTTACCTACCTCATCCATCAAGCTCTTGTTCCACTTCTTCTCCACCTCCTCCCTTATGATCTTCTTCCTGCAAGAGCTGCAAACCTCAAATCCCTCAAAGTCCCGCGCGTATCAGGCACACTAATTCACATCAGATCATTAGTGCAATTTAATTACAGATTAGCGCGCTGTCTCTCTTTCTCCTTACTCTATTCAGCATGGCAAAGCTGAATGCCTTCACTCTGATTAATGAGGACACACACAGTAATAATACAAATAAGGAATTAAAACATGGCCGCTCGGCTGTGTAAACATCGCGAGGCATGTCTGAGAGGATGGGTCCTGCGGCTCTGACAGCGGGATAAAGACGCAGGAAGAGTAATGAGCTTCAGACACGTTCTCGACATGTTCCCATTACGCCTCTCGCTGAGCACGCATTCATGCACATTTGCACACACAGACACAAAAACACACAAAAATACAAAGCTCGGTGTAAATACATCTGGTGGTGCAGGTTCCATTTCTGATTACGATGCAGGTATATGAAGTAATAAGCGATGTAGTCGTCTTCTTCAGGACAAGTGACTTGAAACTGCAACAGTCTTGCTTCCTCTTGCCACTCACCTTCCTTTCCCCTCATAGATAACATCTGACATATTGTCAGCTAACACCCTCAGGTGTCTTGCGTGTCTTCGGGAACAATTTGTCTAACCGTGACAGAGACACATTTGCATTTTGGAAAAAAAAACAAAAACACAAATTCCAGAAACACTTCACGACTGAGTTTTTGGAGCTCATCTCTGCTCTGCTCCATCTTTACCCAGATGTTATCCTCTCACTCTCAGAGTTAAATCATGTCAATCTCCCCTACAGGCGCTGTCGGTAGCAGGCCTCGGCTCAGGGGTGACTGAGGCCTTCATCATCAATCCGTTCGAAGTGGTGAAAGTCAGTCTCCAGGCCAACAGAGACTCATTCGCAGAGGTTGAGTGAAAGAAAATGCTGATTTAACTTGTAAAAATGATGCTAAATGTTCACATTTTTCTTGTAGCTCCTTGACAAGATCCTTTTCGATTCTGTCTTTCGACAGCAACCCTCCGCTTTCGCCCAAACAAGACGTATTATCAAGTCAGGTGGCTTTGGATCGAGAGGTCTGAATAAAGGGTTAACCTCAACACTGGGACGCCATGGAGTTTTCAACATGATCTACTTTGGCTTCTACTTTAACGTCAAGGATGCGATCCCTGCCAACCCGGTAAGATGCAAGTGAAAAATCTGCACTGTGTGGAATTTTGTCTGTGGCACATTCCTGTTGCTGTGCTTCAGTGTTGCCTAACCTTTCCTGACTCTGCCTACTTTTGGCTAACCTCAGACTCTGTGATCCTCACATGTCCTCGCCACATTGCTGCGGGAAAATAACAAGTGTTTAACAGTATGATTAGCTTGCACGGCACGGAGGAAGCAGAAATCAGAGAGAAGCTTCCAAGATCAGCCCCACTAATACCTCGTCTGTTTGCTCTTCATAACATCCTCAAAGTTTCGGATTACACATCCGGCAGCGTCTGATGGCCCAAACAAAAGTTAATTTTGTTTAATGGAAACGTTACCATACGCCACTTCCACATGTACAATCCAGAGCATTAGATTAGAAGTCCAATGAACTAATTGGAAGCAGACAACCGTACTATTTTCGAGAGGAGGTTACAGTGGGAGGCCCGGCTCTGTTGTATTTTCCAAAATTTTCCAGAGCTGCATAATGTACGTCGAAGTGGTCATCCTCTGTGAATAATGAGTACGTGGCTAGATGACTTAAATAGCTTTCTTCTTAGGTTATGGCCGTTACTTATAGGCTTCATCCATTTATGTGTGCAGTGCAGGAATTTTGTTTGCGAGAGGCTACCGACACACGCTTTTAAAATATACAGTGACTTGTAAAAGTGTTTATACTGTTTAAAACTTCTTGTGATTTTGTCAGATCATTTGCTACAACTTAAGTGTGTTTTATAGACCTATAGAGTATACTCTTAAAATAAAGGAAAGTGTAGTTTCAGGTCTCCAGACCAACTTTGTGCATTAAGAGACTGAAATGTATCCCCTTTTCTCTTTATAAAATAACCCGTGCTCAGTGGTTTCACCTAAAGAGCATCTGTGAACACAACATGGCGTGTGCTTCAAATTAAACCATTCAGTTGGAGCTCTGGCTGTATGTTCAGGGTCGTGCTCTTTTGCGCTGTCTCACAGGACTGACCTGGTCGTCCTCCATCCATCTCCTCATTAGGTGGATGGAGACAGATGATGCTGCCAATGCCATGATTCATTGAGGGGTGATTTGCATGAATACTATTTTTTTGTGACTTTCCTGTAAAACAGAATTTTACAGGAAAGTAAAAAGTTAAATTGTGTGTGTCTTCTGGCCAGAGCACCTTCCACATTTTTGCTCTTTCTCTTTTCAACTTAGACTTTATTTATGTCAATAATCCATGAATCTGTGAAGTGAACGACTTAATAGGGATCATTGAACTATTTGTCCTTCCTGAGCTTTAGATCACTGCAACTCCTAAAGAGTTACAACGGGCCTCTTCGCTTATTCTGTGATAAATCTTCTCGTTGCCCCACTGAGCTGCAGGCAAACTTACCAAGGGAAACATGATGAGATTAAGTGGCTCTAAGCTGGATTCTTTTAACAAACAATTGATTTCTCAGTGCAATTGGTTGCATTTCTTTTTACTTAGAGCTGATGGGGTTTAATATGAAGTCACACTACGTAGTTCTGATTTCATTTATATTTAAAACCCTGTATTTAGTTTTATTCTACCTTGTAATCACACGCTAATTTGTATTGGCCAGTCAAAAATTCTTTTTAATAAATTACATTAGAGTTTTCACAAAATGTGCACTGCAAATCTGTCTCGTGTGTGTTTTGGAGACTGAGCTAAGCTTTCATTGCTTAAAGCTTCTCAGCAACGTGAGCAATGAGCTTTCAAGTCAATCATGTCAATAGTCAAATTTAGATTACCGAGCCCAGACTTCTGCTGTACGGACATTTGAATAGCACATAGGAGGCAGATAGCACACTGCCATCATTCACTAGGGGATGTGTGAGGAGATGTTTGCTTAAGGCTGTTAGGAAGTGGCTTGATGGGTGTGCTTAGGCCGTGGCTATATTCCTCCCCCCGCCGCCCCCTTAACCCGCATCCCACTTGAAAAAAACAGAAGAAGTGGGATTAGATGTTGATTTACCACAGCTCTCGGGGTGTCCAGCCGCTTGAGAAAGCCCTGGACCGGAGAAGCTGCTGTCATTTGTAAAAATATCCTGGCCAATTAGCTGTCAGAGCTCTCCGAGTCTGGGCTTCTTTGGTACAGTAATACCCCTGTGCCGAGTCACAGGCCAATTACCCAAATTGTCCCCATATGCCTCCCTAGTCTGCCTGCGTGAACCCTGTTTATAAATCCTCCGACTTGGCTCCTCAAAGAACATGTGGTTCTGCTCAGCCAATCACAACGCTGCACCACAGTCAGGAAGCGCAAATTTGCCCCTCGGAGCCCCTCCTTCCACAACCATAAAATGATCCGGGCTTTCATGCCAGGTCTGAAATCATACGCTCCGATCCCATCATCTCTGTTTCACTTTCGCTCTCGCATAAAAATACAGTGTCAATTTACTGTGTGTATTCACTTAGTGTCACTTTTGTGTCTGTGCGTGCGTGCGTGCGTGCGTGCGTGCGTGCGTGCGTGCGTGCGTGCGTGCGTGCGTGCGTGCGTGCGTGTGTGTGTGTGTGTTTTTAGTTCTCAAGCTCACTTATAAAAATGTTTCCAATGAAGATTGTCCTTGTCAAACCAATAAGCTTCATTGTCATCTTCCAAACAGGACCCCAGGTTAGAGTTCCTGAGGAAGTTTGCTATTGGCCTGACGTCTGGGACCATCTCGTCATGTGCAAATATTCCCTTTGACGTAGTAAAGAGCCGCATCCAAGGGCCCCAGCCGGAACCAGGAGTGATCAAGTACCGCACCTGCTTCCAGACCATGGCACTGGTGTACCGCGAAGAAGGGTAATAACAACACCGAAAAATAATGTAAAAAACAAAAAAAAGATGATTCAAGGAAAACTGAGCCAATACCGGCTGTCCTGCAACTTTTTATTGTGTACCAAATTCAACAGACTTGAGTCAAAGAACTCAGTTATGCCCTCACACAATCAGGAGCTACAGAGTTCTGTGAATGACGCATCTAAAAGTTGCAGGACGCTGGCCCTCCAGGACTGGACACATGTGCCTTAAAGGACTTGTCCCGTTTGAGCTTCTGTTAAAAGGTTAAAAGGTTAAATAGCAGTTTATATCTTAACTCTCTTGGCGTCAGAGTTTAGAATAAATTGGCCCCGCTTGTTCAAAAGGGGCCCGAGACCAAACCAGACTCTTTATGTGTTAAAAAAAAAAAAGTCTGGTTTCCAGTGTTAGAGCAGTGAATGCAAACAGGATTTATGAACCTTTAAAGCTACATTATCTGAGTCGGTCTTTAGAAAGGTCTCAGAGACCCACGGTCACAAAATAAATGTATTCGTTCAGGGAAAGACTTAGTGTTTTCAAAGTTAATCCAATTCAGGTGAGTTGTTTTATTGAGTTGTATTTTTTTATATATATTTAACTACTTCATTGGGGTTTTGAAACAATTACATCATAACCTCACTTTTAATTCCTCACATTCAAACTCAACACATTCAAGGAAAAACTACAAGACTTAACCGCTTTTCCTCTGTGGTCTTGTCAAAATAACAATGTGATATCAAAGGAAAGCTGCATATTTTACTACTTTAAGTGAACGGGGTTTTTTTATTATTATTTTTAATACCTGAAACTTGGTGTGTTTAACACAGAAAAATAATTGATGGTCCTCCAACCACTATTTCCTGCCTAAATAATTATCAGCTGCAGGGCAAATTACTTCCCAATACAAATACATATGAAATGAAGGTTTAAAGAAAACAGCATCACATAAACTACATACAAATTTCTAAAACAAAATTGAGTTGTTTTAGAATGATTCAAGGTTATTGATTATTGATTATTCATCTTTCAAAGGTTGAAGGACGACCTAAAGAAGTTATATCTGTTTATGTAGCTAACATAGTTAGCTGCTTTGCAGACTGCACCAGTATGGACTGAGTTGCTACAAAATGCCCTTTATTAGAAATAAGACAGGTTGCACTTTGTTGAAGGAAGTTGGGCAAAACTTATTGCACCTCAAAGTAGACCTGGCGAAAATAATATTTGACATCTTCTAAGCATTATTATCAACTGATAACTCACAGCCAAACAACTTGAATTCCCCCCATTGACTTTTATTAATATATGAAAGCTACAAGCATTACAGTGCTCACTTCAAATTTGGATTTCTTAGTCACTTTATTCTTGAATCTTTATCAATTAATAAATGTTAGAAACCTGACTAATAATCGTAGCAGAAATCCTGTCTCAGTTTAGGTGCACGTTCAACACGCTACGCTTGAGGCAACAAGTAACATTAAACGGCACAAGTGCCAGAACTTTGCAGGGATATGTCTGCAGGATTGTGATTATTGAAACACATGAAAAGGAAGAAATTTGGCTAAACTGTGAAAATTTTCTGTGAGAAGTGCATCTTGTCATTCACGATTATGAATGACATCAGCTGTTGCAGCCAAATTCAGTCTTGCAGCAACACCACCAGGGATGCAAAATGAAGTCGGTCAGAGAGTTATGTACTTCAGGTTGGATATTAGCTGCTTATAATCATTTGACATACTTCAGAAATTCTGAAACGTGCCTTATGGTACATTCACACATTTTGGTCTACATTTGGCTGTCCTAAACACCTTGGTCTTGGTTTTGTTGAAGTGAACCTCGGGGTGGCTCACTTCAGCAGAGGAGGTGGCTCAAAGCACATGCCACTTTGGGTAAAAACAACAAAAACAAACATGTGAGTCCAGTGCCAGCAGGAGAAATGGCTTGTAGTCGTTTCCCCCCCCCCCAAAAAAAAAGACAATTGCTGCAACCGCTAACATCTGATGCCACTGCATTTTTGTTCATGTATTGTGAAGAATGAAATTGCGTTTGTCTTCTGAAGTTTTCATGTTGTTTCCTTCTGGGGTTCTTGGTGCATCGCCACCACTGGCAAAGGGGGTAAACAGGTTTTACAAAGAGTTTGGTTCGTTTTGCACAGTGCGGTTTGAAAACTAACCCAGCCAGCTGAAAGTGTAATCAAACTGAGTCTACCGGGCCATCAGGTGTGAAAACCCCCTTAATGCAAAGCCGTAAAACACAAATGTCAAATTCTATACCGCGCTCAGCATGATGCCAGTGATAAATTTTATGAAATGAAGGTTATCACTTCTGGAGTAACTGTGGACAAACTCTTAAGCCTCAGAGACTGACAGCTCCAAATGGAGGTTTCAAGGAGAGATCTATGATATGTTAGCAGTTGCCCTGGGCTTTCTATTTTGCCCCATGCCGCTCCCTGAGACAAGACCCCAAGAGATGTTTGTCGTTAGTGGATGTTGTTAGTTTGTAGACGGGATGGGGGTAGCGGCCCGAGCAGCACTGAAGCCTTGGCGCGGGCGTGCACAAACTGTGCCCCCGCCGCCACATCCAGTCCCCTTCCCTTAACACAACACAGTCTCAGCTAATTAGTGGTCCCTATGGGAGACATCGTTAAGCAGACCCTAACGAGCCGCGCGGCGCTCCACGGGTCAATCTAATCAGACAGAGGGCCAGGGAGGAAGTGGGTCGAGCCTTATTAACGCCATCATTGGCGGGGGCAGGGAGCGGGACAGGGAGCACGAGGCAGAGGCAGGCAGCCACTGATCACCTTGAACGCATTAAGGGACAGGTATTCGCCAGCGCTGCCTGTTAGTCCCCGATGGGGTGATAGACGTGCCAGGCAGCAGACAGACGGAAAGCGAGGCGAGATCAATCAACATCAACAGGAGCAGGGATGTGTGTTGCAGAATGTTCCTCCTCTCAGATTAAGGCATGTTATCACGAAAAAGCGATTGATTTCACTTGTTCGTCACCTTGAAGTTGCAGCTAATAAAGACAATCCTAATTTTATCGAGAGTTGAGCCAACATAATCGTTTTATCGTTTATTTGTTGGATATTTCTGCTGCACTGATATTTGAAATCAGAAAATTAACCTAAGTAAAGAACCTACGGTTCCCTGTCAGTACTAAAAGAGACTTACTTAAACTGAGACTGAATTTACTTTGTTTTTTGTTTGGTTGTTTGATTACTTTGCTTGTGTCTCTGTATTTCGAACTGATTTTTCCTTTGTTTTTTTTTCCAGCTTCTTGGCTCTGTACAAAGGCTTGGTTCCTAAGATAATGAGACTTGGACCAGGTAAAAAAACACAAAACAAAGTTTGACACTTTACGTTCATTGTTTTAGGTTTTTTATAATGTAAATGTAAATTTTGATACATTATCCTAAATTTTTAACACTTGAAACACTTATTCTGAGATTTCATGACCAACTTGTTCATCTTTTCTGTTTTTTGGGGGGAATTATAAATTACATAACTATGCAGAGCTTTTGTAAAATCATTTTTGATATATATATATATATATATATATATATATATATATATATATATATATATATATATATATATATATTATATATATATATATATATATATAATATATATATATATATATATATATATATATATATTCCTTGGGTTTCAAGGTACTGTGAGCTTTCTCACATTTCAAGATATTGCGACCACAAACTTCTGTGAGTCAGCTTTGGATTTTTATTGATATGTTGAAAAAAAAAGAAGCATAATTGGGACGTAGAAAGTTTCTACAAATAAACATCCAAAAAGAGTGGAGATTCTACACTTTGTAGAATCTGCGTGTCTTTTGACTCTCTGAGCGCTGGACTTTTAGATGAACTGAGGCACATTCCCACAGAATGATGCTGCCACTGTCATGTTTCACAGGGCTGGTGATGTGAATGTTACATTTCTTATAGGCCAAAAGATTATATCCTGATGAAATATTATCAGAACACCTTTTATTATATTTTGGTTTGTTGCAAACTGCAAAAAGCAATTAGATTTCTAAGAGTTATTGTAACCCGCTTTACCCCAGGCCCATCTGCTGTGTCCCTTTTGTCCTCATGATGCTGATTCTTCAGTGATATTCTCCAACAAACCACTTCATAAATGTGCCCCACTTTCTGTTTGCCTAACTGGAAAAATTTCAGGATTTTTTGTACCATAATAAAATGTATGGATGTATGTGAGGCGCTGTATGCATGCTGGCAGCAATCAGCATATATATATTTGAAGATGGAGTCGCCTGTTTTATGGATCTAATGGAGGCAGCAAATCCCTGTAATCCTCATTTAAATATAATGACAATAAAAGCAGAGCTCCTCTCATGTCCTGTGTAAATGAGGCTGCGTTTCTCTGTCATGTTTTGCTGCAGGTGGAGGGGTGATGCTGCTGGTCTACGAATATATGTCGAAGTGGTTGCAGAAACACTGGTAACGAGAAAACCACAGAAGAGAAACAAAAGCCTGTAATTCCTGTTCCAAATTTATTCCTCATTGACAGAATTGGTGACTCACCACGAAGCCTTTGGTTTTGCTTTTTTGTTGTTTTTTTTCTAAGATTCATAAAAATACCAAAACAGTGTTTCCATATTCGGGCGATGCATCTGTCTCACTAATAAAAGTTGTGTAAACCAGTAGCACAATAGGTTTTCATCACCAAAAAGTATTTCTATTTTTTATTTCATCAGTTCCAGAATAGACAAAGCTGTGCAAACTTTATAAAGTGACCTTTGTAATGGAGCTCTAAATTTATTAGTCAAAATATCAGGTTTTTTTTTTTTTGTACTACTCTGTTTGTCCCCAACTTGTTTAAAATGGATCAGAGTTTGCTTTTTGTTGTTTTTTGTTTTGTTTTTATTTTTATTTTACAAAAATGGACTGAATAAATAGGTAGTTCCCTTCACTTTACGGCATCTCTTCTGTTATTCCCTCTTTTGTCCAGATGGAGCCGGTGGTAGATGATTCCAATATTTTAATTCTTAATACATTTGAAAACTAATTTTTTTTTTTAATTAAAAAAAAAAAAAAAGATTATTTAAAGCACTAAAAACGTCATTTAAACTTCTCTGAATGAATGAGTTAAATGTAACTAACTTTGTAAACCAACATTAATGACACAAACACACACGGTAAAGACAGGAAGGTTCTCTTCCTCTTTGGTTCTACAACGCGAAGAATTGCATCGGTTTTAAAGTCGACTTTTACATCAGTGACTTTTCTTCTTAACCCCCCTCCACCCCCGAGAGTTTTATTGTGCTGTTTTTGTTTGAGGGATGCACATAGTTTCTGTCATCATAAACATGCGCTTGTTCTTATTTTAACAGTCACATACTTTACCTATCTCATGGAATAGATTCAAGCTAATTAGTGAGTTTTATAGACAAAAAAAAAAATAAACATAGGAATAACTTAATTTAAATCACTTGCAGTCCAAACAATTTGTGTACTTGTTCATGTGTAAAGTATATAATATATATATATATATATATATATATATATATATATATATATATATATATATATATATATATATATATATATTTATATATATATATATATATATATATATATATATATATATCTATATATAGATATAGATATATATATATCTATATATAGATATATATATCTATCTATAGATAGATATATATATCTATATATAGATATATATATCTATCTATAGATAGATATATATATCTATCTATAGATAGATATATAGAGATATATATATATATATATATATATATATATATATATATATATATATATATATATATATATATATATATAATATATATATATCTATATATATATAGTTATAGATATATATATAGATATATATATATATATATATATATATATATATATATATAGATATATATATATATATATATATAGATATAGATATATATATATAACATAATTCAAAGTAGCCACATCATACCATGCGAATTCCCCTCATGTGAATTTGTGCTTTTGCTTTCTGTTTATAACCACTGTGGTAATGCAGTTCTTTAAAAAAGGTATTTACACCACGTAGGATTTTTCACACTTTTCCACGTTGAATCCAGATAAACTGCCTTTCATTGGAATTTCATGTGAGAAACCAGCAGAAAGCAAACCATGACTGTGACATGGAGAGAAAAAGATTCGTGACTCTTGATATTTTCTACAAACTAAACTCTGAAAACAGATCTGGGGTCTATTTGTACTTGACCCCGGAGAGACAGCACTATGTGGAGCTTTTCACCTCAACCAGCTTTTCACCTAAAGAGGCTGACGTCTTTTACCTTTTCTTTTGTGGAAAAAAAAAAAAAGAGAAACAGAAAAACTTCTAAAACCTGTATATTTTAAAATGAAATGTACATTGAAAAGCATTAGTTGATTCTTTGTCATTATGAGCCAACTTTATTAAAGATCCATTTTTGAAGGTCCAAAGAGCCGCAGGTTGGAGAGCCATGAACTGAGCCGTCCAATCACAGCTTTGACTGCATGTTCATGTACGTTGAAGTCAACCTGAGGACTTTCTAGCATTGACCACTATTTAGTGTCATCCATATTCTCATTGTCTCCAATCAGCTTCCCTCTCTGTACAACAGGAAGCACCAAAGCATGATGGTGTTGGTCACTGCGGGGGTGACATGCAATGTCAGCTTTGACATAACTCTTTCCACCTAGAGCTTCGTGCATTTTGTCAATTTGACCTCTTGTGTCCCTCTTCCAAAAACGCCTTTCTTCTTTTTATCTTTCCATAAATGTCAGACTGGAGCAGTGCTCAGCTAACAGATTCTCCCACCTGAGCTGTGGACCTGTGGCAGCTCCTCCATAGTCACCTTGATTCTCTTGGCATTCTCTCTTATCAGGGCTCTGCGACCTTCACAGCCTAAAGCGCAGTTTCCTCTCGGGCCAGCCGAGCAAAACTTGCTTAGAGCTGCAAATGTCGCAAAACTACTTGGGGGGAAAAAAGACAACTTGTAATTTTTGGTGAATATATCTACACTAGAAAATTTATTTTTTTTAAGGACCAACATTTTATCTATGTTTTTTTCTGATCTAAAATAAAGATAAACATAAAATTTTGCAAGAAACAGAAAAAAAACCCAGCTGAAACCTGCATTTCTTGTTATATGCAGGTTTTATGTATTTAAAAATGTTAGTTAGTTTTGTGTGACTTTTAGCCAAAGTCATGAAGATTGATTGCAGACGATATACAGACTCCCATGAAAGCTCCGAAGCTTGAAATGTAACCTTTTTTAACCTAACCCGGATTTAAACAGCGTCGATCCTGACCCGCCTGCTGTATTCCTCAAAACTCTGAGGCCTTCACAGAGCGGGCTTCATGTTCAAGTTAAATTACACACAGGTGTACTATTTGACTCAATTTTCTTTAAGGATGTCCAATTAAAATGGGGCTTAAATGCAAACACTCACCGCTGTTTTTTTTTTTTTTTTTTTCAGATTTTTGTCTTTAAAGTATTTAGAAAACCTTTTCCTCTCACTTCAGTTTTGCACTAGTTTGTGTTGATCACAATGACATGAAATCCCAACAGAAGGCATTATAGTTAGTTTTTCTGACATGTGAAAGAGCTTTAGAGAAATAAGTATGTTTTCATAATTTGATCACTTTGCTACTTTCAGAATAATATCATTTATTCATCACATTTTCTATGAAATTACTATTTTCGACCTTTCCATGATCTGAAATTGACCTTTTTTTCTAACTAGACATAAAAAAATTGAGTTTTGTTTCCATGTTTTGTTAAAAAGTGAAAGGCTGAACCAGCGTGCTCCTCATGCACTCATGCGAGCTGCGATCGGGATGCATTTTTCTCCCGTGCCCTAATGGCCGACTTCTGCTGTCACACATCCGTCTTTCCTGCTCGTGTTTCAGCCCGGCGCTGATATAAGCGTATCGGCTTTCCCCAGTTTACCGCGCCGTCACTCGCCTCTCGTCTCCCCGCCATCCTAGCCTTTTGTTGTTTGACTAGCTGTCAGCCGAACAAGTGGCGCTTGCCAGCTGAGTGTCAGTCTCTTCCGTGTCTTGAGCGTAGCTTCCAGTACAAGCTAAAACAACACGCTTTAGAAAAATTCTAATGAGGCCTCGGGTTTCGACGGAGGGTGTGGGGAGCTCGCCTTCACGTTCCCTCCCTCAGCCCACATATCTTTTCCACAAATATGCGATCTCGCAACACACCTGTCCGATAGCTGCGGTGCGTCATGGCTGCCCTCGATGACACTTATCGTGACCTTATCTGGTAGCTTCGACCGAGCCACGTTGGCATTTGACAGCGGCCCCCTCAATGTGGGAGTTTTCATCTGCGCCAAACTAAAACGGCTGCTGCTTTTTTTTTTTTTTTATTCTTTTTTTTTTTCTTTTGTCGCCCGGGACGTGTGGTGATAGATGAACAACCGTGGCTTGCAGACTGATGAAATCGTAAGCGCCCAACCTGTCCTTTTTTCGTAATGAAGCGCTCAGCGTTCGATGTTTGTTTCGGGCCTGACAGCTTGCAACAGGCACGCCCAAAATTGCCGGTAGCTAGGCAACAAAGCCACCTTCAACTGAATTCCCCGCACATCTTGATCACTATAAATCAGCGAAGTATGCGGCCTCCAGTCGAAGCGCTTCACCTCGGTGGTTCCACTTTGACAAACCTGCAATCTGCGCTCGGCTCTCCCTGTGTTTTCCAAGGCAAACACAGTCGGTGATTAATGTGCATTAAAATCTACCACAGTGAGGATGCATGTGCGCACAAAGACATGCTGGGTTCGTCTCTGCTGATTTCTTTTCTCCCCCAGCCTCCGCCCTCCACCTCTCTCAAAATCCCAAGTTTGAGAGGTTATGCTCACCTGTCTGCTCGACGTTGTTGTTTTAAGACATTAGGAAAACACTCTGGCTGTCGTCAGCTTCTTTTAAAAGTGCTCACTGAGCAGAAGCACGCATGGAGCTCTGTGTTCAGCCAGTGTCAACATTCTCTGCTCTGTGTTACCCTGCAAAAACCGAAGGCTGTCTTGTTTCTGATTGCATGTGAAGAAGTAAGGATAACCATATGACACTGAAGTCAGACTCAACATAATTAATTATAAACACGTGTCGGCCCCTATTTTCAAAACTACATCTTGTAGACCCATAAAGCCGAGCAGCAACGGCTTTTGAGCACCTTTTTTGAAAATGCATTTGTCACGCGGCCTTTAGATGAGGTCAAATTCTAATGTTTTGAGTCAAAGGAGGCCATTTTCTTTTTGTTGGTTTTTTTGTTTTGTTTTTTTTTTTTACTTTTTTTTGTTCTTAGATGAAAAAGTTGACTTTAAAACGCCATCCAACCCTCTCCTACGAGCAAAAGAGTCATTAGCTGTTGGCGATAGTTGGTCTTCGGTTAGAGGATGGTGGCGATGGCCAGGCTCGGCAGTCTGCACGTCGCTGCCTCCCTCCCACCCCCGATGCGATGTGGTTCACATACGGTCAAACACTGCGACCGTGAGCAACGGTCCGTGACCACTGGATGCGGGGAGAGGTGCTTTCCAAGTCAAATCAGCTCCTGCATGGGGCGGACTGTTGGCACTGCGACGCGGAGGCACTGTTTATGCTGCGACACGAGACGGATAGACAAAAAGAAAGAAAGAAAAAAAAAAAGTTTCCTCAGCAGCAATATAGGAGGAACAGAAAGGGAGCAGGTGAGCAGCTTTATCAAGACATCAATCTGCGCCTCCACGCCGCAGCGCAGTTTGTTTAAATCCCCAGTTTCCACTGCAGGGCTAGACGGGGCTTGCTAGACTCGCAGATGAATAATTTATTACTCCACACTTTCTGCAGATTTCGAAATCTGTAGAAAGCGTTTCTTTTCTTGTTTTGCTTTGTTTCTTTGACTTTCTGCAAACCCGTCAGACATGAACTTCACTTACTTA